CTGCGCGTGCCCAGAGAGGAACCCAGGCCCTTGGGGGCGGGCTGTACCTGTTGGAATTGGAGCCGTTCAGCTTTGTTGCCCAGAGCTGGGCCTCTGTGCCCGTCCCACGCGGATCAGGGGTTGAAAATCGGCTGTCTCGGGGCTGTCGGGTGTTCTTTTTTATGAAATGTTTTATTTATTTATTTATTTTTGTCTTTTTGGGTCACACCTGGCGATGCACAGGGATTACTCCTGGCTCTGCACTCAGGAATTACCCCTAGTGGTGCTCAGGGGACCATATGGGATGCTGGGAATCATACCCAGGTTGACCGCATGCAAGGCAAGCACCCTAATCTCTGTGCTATTGCCCCAGCCTCTGAAATGTTTTTATGCATCTATTAACAATATGATTTTATGATTTTATGCATCTATTAACACTATGATTTTTATTTCATATGATGAATTGCATTAATTTTTGAAAATTAAATCAGTCTTGTATATCTGGGCTACAACGCACTTAGTCATGGTGCAGAATTCTTTTTATACATTTCTGAATTCAATTTGTTAATAATTTGTTGAGTCCTTTTATATCTATGTATGTGAGAAATATTGATGTCTTTTAACTTTTTGTAATAACTTTCCGTGGTTTTGATGTTACATTAATTTGAAATTTCATTAAAAGAAATGAATGAAATGAATGAATAGCAAGTATTTTTCCTACTCCTAATTTCTTAGTTGTTTGATTAGAAATCACTAGGGGGTCCATCTGGGACTTTGCTTTCTATTTTAGAACATTATTAATTATTGACTCAATTTTAAAAAATAGATATGTCTATACTTGTGTCTTTCATGAAATTAATCTATTTCACTGTGTGACCAAAATTATGGATATAGAGTTTGCAAGAATTTTTTTTATATACTCATTGGAACTGCAGTAGTATATCATTTTGCGGTATTTAGTAATTGATGTTCCCTCTCCCTCTCCCTTTTTTATCATTATTCTGACAAGAGAGATTTGGTTTTGGTTTTTCAGTGCTATTTCTGCCTTTGTGCTTGGGGTTCACTCTTGGTAGTGTATTAGATGAAGGAACCATACATGTGCTTCTTTGGACCAAACCCAGGACTCCGCCTGGAAAGCTTGTGCTCATCCATTGAACTATCTCTCCAGCCCAGATGCTGATGCTATTGGACTTTCCAAAGAACAAGGATTTATTTTTATTTTTATACATTTTTATTACAAAGAAAAGAGGGTTCAAACAAACTCTTTTATGTTTTAAATGATAAATTTAACAGGATTACTAGAAGAATGTTACCGAATGTAACCTGCCCACACGGCAGAGTCTGGCAAACTCCCCGTGGCGTACCCAATATGCCAAATACCAGCAACAATGAAGGGTCTCATTCTCCTAACTCTGAAAGAGCCTTGAATATGGCACTTTTTTTAAAAAAAAAAATTTCAGGGCTAGGACGAAGAGACGTTACTGGGGCCTGCTCGAGGCAATCGACGAATAACAGGATGGTTGTGATCGATTGATTGATTGTGACTAGAAGATTTAAGGAAATAGAAGGATGGAATGTACTTTTAGGTAAATTACAAAGATGGCATGAAATCTTTGTGATGCCTGGGGTTGAACCCACAGCTTCCACACGCAAAACGTAAGTTCCAGCATTTTCTTTGGCCCCAACTTCTATTTTTGTTTTTCCAGACTGGCTGTTAAAAGCCTCTAAGGTAAGTGGAAATGACTTTATCATGAACTGGAGGTTTTCTGAGGCCCACAGCGGTGGTGTAGGGGGTGGGGTGAGGGAGACCACTGTCCCAGTAACCCTCAGAGAGGTGGTCCTGTTCCACCAAGGTGCCCAGGCCTTAGACACTTCTAAGTTGTGGTCCTAGCTAATGTACCTTTGACTACTTGTCCTGGTGTGCAAAGTGACAACATCTTTTCTTTTTCGTCTCATGAGAAAGTGTTTTCTAGGCTTTAGCAAGGTCAGTCTGATGCATGAAGTTCAAATATTCAGAGGTTCCTTTTTCAGGAACCACATGACAACTAATTGGGCACATAAAGGGGTTTTAAGGAAGACAAATGCCAGTTTCATTCTGAGAAAAGCCAGGACTTTTACCTCTAAAATGAGATACAGTTTGGTATCATTGATCTTCTTGATTTCCGATTCTTGTTTTGACTTTTCAATTTAATTTTGATTTCTTCAAAACATCATTTCAAAAAGTTCTCAGAAACATCCTTTCTTTTCTGGTGCTGGAGAAACAGCCCTAGAAAAGAGGCAGCAGCGTGCAGGGATCATACAGCTCTTGAGAGAGCATAGCTCTTGCCTCGCACATGACCAAACTGGGTTTGATCCCTGGCACCATCTATGCACCTCTAAGAGCAGAGCCAGGAATAAGCCTGAGACAGTAGTCTCCCTTAACCCACCCCCTGCACCACCCGAGTGGGCCTCAGCAATCTTCCAATTCGTGATATTGGCTCAAAAGTCAATCAATAAATAAGATCATTATTTATTTTCTACCATTTTGGATTTAATGTGTTTTTATATCTATAACTTACATCATTGGAGGTTTAGGTGATATATCTCTGGTTTTTCTTTTCTAATTCATGCATTCAGTACAGTAAATTAAATAATGAGCTCCCTTGTTTAAATGAGAACAATATATGTATGGGCTTGTATTGTGTAATATAATCTTTCATAATTGGTGTGTATAATGCTATATAATGCATGCAATAATATTAATCTTATTGTTATTGTTTGGAGAGTTATCAACCAGTACTCGGGGCACCCAGGGACAGTTCCTGGTGGTGTTCTGCCAGTGGGGATGGATGGTGCAATGCTTGGCTGGGTGGAAGGTCCTTCTTGTCCCAGCCATGTCCTTCTTCTTCCAGGGTAACCCCTGTGGCCACTAAGATCAAGTGCCACCGCCATCTGAGGTCAACACCTGGCAAAGCTCATTTCATTAATCACCAAATTCATAGATAATGTTTAGACCTTAGTTCATCTGATTTCTAGGTGAGACAAGTTTTTACCTGTGTCTAATTACTAGCACAACCATTGTATCTAAGTAGATCTAAGATTTAATTCTAAAATTAATTTTTTAAATTTTGAATTATAAAAGAAAATTTCATTATATCAGCAGAATTTTTTTTATTTGTTGGTTTGAGGGATCAAATGAGGTTCTCAGCTACAATGAAGCCATTAACATTTCATTTTCCAAAGTGACTTACAGAAATGTTTCTCCCTTTTTGGGGATAGGGATGCATACCCAGTTCTGCTCAGGGCTTTTCCTGGCTCTATATTTAGTAATCACTCCTGGAGGGTCTCAGAGAAATATATAAGGTACCAGGAACCAAAACTAGATTGGCTAAGTACAAGGTCTGTTGTACTATCTCTCTGGCCCTGCCATCTCTTTTCCCTATCCTATGAAAGGTTGTTCAAGTTTCAGTCTCATGACTTCAGTGTTGTTGATTCTGTGGTCTGGATATTTAGCTCTATCATTTCTTAGTACCACTGATGTATCTGAATCCCCTTGAGCCCTGCATTTCCTTTATGAATGCAAAGCTGAACTACTTATTAAATGTAGCTGCGTGGCAATAGCCAAGTTAGAAAACTCACAATCATACTGAAAGTCTAGGTTAGATAAAAAGTAAGAAAATGATCTTTTTGCAATATGGACAATGAAATAAGAAAATAATGTCATACTTATTATTTTTAATCATCTACAGTTTTTGGTTCATGTTTTGTAGTATAAATTAAACTTTAACAGAGATGTTTAATGTATAGTCTTTTGAAACAATTTTTCTTAATCTAGTTTTAAAACTATATTGTTTGACATAATACCATCCTAAATATTTGCCACAAAAATTGCATTCTCACTGACTTTAAAGGTGATGAATGCATTTATTTTTAATTTATGTTTTCTTTGAGGCTACACCAGGCTTTGCTCAGGACTTACACCTGCCTCTGATTTTAGGGATCATTCGTGGTGGTGCTTCAGTGTCCATATGCTGTGCTGGGAATCAAACACAGGTTTGCAATGCATAAGATAAGCATCTTCCCTACTGTACTAGCTTTCAAGTTGATGATAAATGTATTTACCAGGATAAGAGTACTCAAGGCATCAAGGCAAGAGCCGTGGAGGGACACCTAGATGACTCTGGTCCCTATATTATAAAACTAATAAGGACTGGAAAGGAAGAAAACTGAGGAAGGGAACTAAGAAGAGGCAGACAGGAGGTAACAAGGGCAGAGGTCAGCGGTTTTGGACACTTTGGTAATGTAGAGGTGAGATACAAGTCTATATTTGAATCACAGAACCAACGGAATGGAAATGATGAGATCTAAACTGCAATAATCAAATTTGAAAATGTGCAGTTGGGGGGAGGTTGGGGGTGAGGGCATGGGGACATTAGTGGAGGGAAGTTGACACTGATGGTAGGATTGGTGTTGAAACATTGTATGCCTGCAACTCGGCTCTAAAAAAATGTATACATCAAATTTAAAAAATTAAAAAATAATTTGAAATAAAAAATCAAAAATAATTTTACAGCTCTGTTTTCTGGAACCCCTGGTGCTAGGACAGAATGTGATCCCAGTGATGATAGTGCACTGCAGTGGGGTGTTTGTGGGCACTGCAGCTGAGACGAGGGGTCCAGGAGTGGGTACGCCAGCCAGCACATGGGTGTACCAGCACTCCAGCTATGGCAGGTGACCCCAGGTGACCTCTTGGCAATTGCAACAGTGATAAATGAAAGGGGATTAAAAAAAACAAAGAAGTCCACCTTGGTATGTTGAAAACAAACTCCTGAATAGCACAATGTTGATACTGAAGCACTTGACTGACAACATTTGCTTTTAGAACCAGTTTGGGATCCTCCCGAGATTACTTGAGCACTGAGACTTTTCCCACGTGATAAGTCTGACTTGAAGTTTGTGACTTGCAGTAAATTTTTCCTGCCATTTGCTTAGTCCCTGTTATTTTCTTGGTGCCACTTTCTGTCAGATTAAACGCATTCGTGTCATTCAGAATCTTTTCCCGTAGTGTCAAATAACATTCGAGTGAAGAAGGGGGAAAAGTTGTCAAGAAAATCAGAAGCAAATCTTGGCACACTGTGATTGAGTATGTCAGCACTGCAAGTATACCGCAAGCACATTGCGAAATTGCACTATTGTGGAACCTAAAATAAATAAAAGAAATGAAAAGCAAACAACTGTGTGCAGTAAGTGCAGTCCTGTTCTGAAGATAATAAAGGAGAGGTTTATAATTTTAATTGTATGTGGTGAGTGGGTAGAATAGCTTGTTGCTTGGCTAAATGAGATTTTTTTTCATTAAAAAGCTGGGATTGGGGCCAGTGCAATAGTCCAGCAGGTCGGGTGCTTGCATTGTGTGTAGACTGACCTGGGTTTGATTCCTGGCACCTAATATGGTCCTCTGAGCCCATCAGGAGAGAGCCCTGAACATTGCCAGGTGTGTGATTCCACCAATATCATGCCCCCACCCCCAAAAAATCTGAGATTTATATAGCTGCAAGTTTCATAAGATTACTTATCTATAGGGAAAAAAGAGGGAGTTAAGATAGTATAATAGCTTTGTATGTCTGGTGAAATATATAAAATAAACTGCGTGGCTTGAAGCACCATGACTTTATTTTCTCACAGGGGGACTAGAAGGGCAAAGTCTAGTTTGAAGCCAAGTCCAAACACAGATGGACAGTGTAAGGAAGTTCCCTTCATTCCCTCTTCCTGGAAATGCTCCTCATTGTTCCTTGGTTCATAGACGTGTGACTGTTTCCTCATTCAGTCTTCTCTTGGTATTCTTTCTTATATTCTGTGATTTAAATCTTCTTCTTCTGAAAAGAACATGCTTTAGGTTTCACCTTGACTTTATTTCATCTTCAAATATCTTGTTTCCAACTAAGTTACAGTCACAAGTTCTTGGGGTTAGGACTTGAACAGATTTTGCTGAAGGGCACAATTCAATATGCTCTGAGGAAACAGCATATGCAAGTCAGGCAGCTGAAACAAGTTGAGAAGTGCTTTCAAAAGGATCTTCTAAATTCTTTAATCCCCAGATAATTTTTATACTTGTTTTTTGGAGTTTATTTTGTGAAACTATTAAAAGTTGAGACTTTGAGGCCAGTGACTTTAACAATAAAGTAGCTAGTCACTCATTTATTCTACCAATATTTTGTGATCATCTAATACTTTGGAAAAAATGGAACAGAGTGATAAGTGAACAGCACAGCATTTGTTTCAAAAACCCATAATCTGGAAAAAAAATCCAAGGAGGCGAAAGTTTACAACACACTGCAAAATATGATCAGATTGGCATTTTGGAAAGATTTATAAAAGATTTTCACAGGAGGGAAAAAACACTCTATTAGAAAAAGAAGAGGTGAAGAAAAACACAGAGTTGTATCAAACCAATTATATGATAGAACTTAGGTTCTTAGAACTGGATCATGAAGAAATGACTATGAGACATAAAGAAAAATAAAAGCCATCCAAAAAATCACAGGCTTCAGAAATTCTCAAGTCACTAATCCTAGAATATTTTCTGTGATTATGACCATCCTTCCTTTCACTGCCTTTAGTGTAAACAAATAAGTCCTTTCTATTTGTTTGTTTCGGGGAGACTGCAGTGCTCTTTTAGGAAAACCTGAGCACGAGAAATAACCGTGCATGAGAAGAAAATAATGCTGAGGTTGACCACTAAAAACGTGTGGAAATTTATAACCGAATCCTAGTAAGAATGATTACAGCTGGGACAAGAGACATAAAGCAACTGTTCTGATGCTTTCTTTGCATGCAGCAACCTAGGTTCAATCCCCAGTACCAGATATGGTCCTCGACCCAGGAGTGATCCATGAGTGCGGAACCAGGAATAAGCCCTAAACAGAACCAGTTGTGACTCAAAAACAAAGAGGAGGAGGAGGAGGAGAAGGAGAAATCTGATCATTAGAAATACATTCTTCAGTTGCTTCATGGTAGAAAACATGACAATCCTAAAAAGCAGTAAATCATTCAAAAAAAAGATTACAAAAGAGTACTTCTGTGTTTTTATTTTATTTATTTATTTATTTTTGGTGCTCTGTATTTGTTCACTTTATTTTTTTTTAATTTTTATTAGTGAAACACCATGAGGTATACAGTTGTAGACTTACAAATTTTTGTGCTTGGGTTTCAGTTATACAATGATCAAGTCACCATCCTTCCACCAGTGCCCATCCTCCACCACCACAGGTCCCAGTATCCCTCCCACCCCCCATCCCCCCCCATCTCACCCTGCCTCTGTGGCAGGGCATTCCATTTTGTTCTCTCTCTCCTTTTGGGTGTTGTGGTCTGCAAAAGAGACATTGAGTGGCAATCATGTTTGGTCTGTAGTCTACTTTTAGCATGCTTCTCCCATCCTGGGAGGATCCTCCCAACACCCTATTTTAGCTGTCTTTTCTTGACTTCATTTACTGCCAAGGTCTTATCTTTAATTGTGAGAAAACTTCTCTGATTGTTTCAAGAGAAGAAAAATTGATATTAGTCAATGGACCTTCTGTGTTATGCTTCATCCTCTATTTACCAATCAACTACAAAACCAGTTTTTAACATAAACACATGTTCTGCTATAGCTAGAGCCTATATTTAAGTGTAAAGTCTAAAATCTAAATATGCTCCCATATTTCCTAGGGTTTTTTAAAAAACAGCTATATACATAGTTATATATATTAACATATATAACATATTATATATATTAATATAGCATTGTATCACTGTCTTCCCTTTGTTCATTGATTTTTCTCGAACGGGTACCAGTAACATCTCCATTGTGAGACTTGTTTTACTGTTTTTGGCATATCAAATAGGTCATGGGGAGCTTGCCAGGCTTTGCCGGTCAGGTGGGACACTCGGTAGCTTGCCGGCTCTCCCAGAGGAGTGGAGGAATTGAACCTAGGTCGGTCGCGTGCAAGGCAAACGCCCTACCCGCTATGCTATCACTCCAGCCCATATATTAATATACATGTTAAAATGTGAAGTTTTAATATACATTAAAAGGTTTTGAAAAGAACTTTCAAAATGCATTTGAATATTATTGTGTTATCTTAATTCTTAATTGTAATTTTTTTAGGTAGCAGAGCATTATGAAAGGATAAAAGTAAATTAATAAAATTTTGATTCTTCTAGTAAGAAACTGCGGTACACAGTGGTGTGTGAATTCCCACATACTCAGAAAATTATAAATGCTTCACAGAATTATTTTAATATGAAAATATGGATCATCATAGATAGATTTATAGTATTTGAGTAATTCATGTGTGATTTTCCTTTTTCTGAATAGAGGATAGATACTTTAAAAGCTTGTGTAGAATCTTCAAGAGAGAAAATATTTTAAATTTTACATCCTCAAAGTTTCTGCATTCTTACTAAACCAAGCAGAGAAGAATCAAGCAATGAAGATGAGTTTTATGTGAAGAAATTTTATAGATTTTCATATATGGTTAAATTAAGGAAGGTAAATATATAATAATCTATGAATACTCCCTGCTTCACGTCTCCTCTACCAGCCATGACCATGCACTGGGCATTGTCTTATCACACATTATTCTTACCACATTGAATAATGTGAATATCAAAGGAAAATTTTTATCAGTTAATTATTCTCTTCTCAGAGAAACATTGTAGAATCTTAGCTTTATTATTATCTGATCTATTGTGCAACAGAATTTGAAAAATTACCACATAATTTGGATGGATATAAAATGGTTCGTGAAATACTTTTGACTAACCCTCCTCTAGAAACACATTTAAGCTTAAATTCTTAAAACGCTTAAGCTTAATTCCACAAATGCTGACACATTTTTTTACATTCAAATTTTAATTTTTTTACATTCATTGTGATTGATAATAAAATAAAATATAAAAGCACAAAAATGGCTATCAAATAATTTATGATTTAGTTTTAATAAATAAAATTCAAGCCAGGATAACGACTAGAGAGATATATATGCATAATGAATTTTATGTCTACTGAAATTTAGAGCACTGTAGCACTGTCCACTGTCCTCCCATTGTTCATCAATTTGCTCAAGCGGGCACCAGTAATGTCTCCATTGTGAGACCTGTTGTTACTCTTTTTAGCATATTGAATAAGCCACGTGGAGCTTACCAGGCATTGCCAAGAGGGATGGAGGAATCGAGGGATGGAGGAATCGAACCCTTGTCAGTCTCATGGAAGGCAAACTTATTACCTGCTGTGCTATCGCTCCAGCCCACCGAAATTTAGAGATTCATAAAAAATATATGTAATCCAAGATGGCCAATTGGCGAGAAAAAGATAATGATAAATCACTCCAGGATCAAATGAATGTCAAAATGTTAATTTTAAAAGGTTTTAAATATTCCTTTACATAATAAATTTGACATTAAAATTTTATGATATGAATTGAAGCAATAGCAGAGTGGGTAGGGCGTTTGCCTTGCATGTGGCTGACACGGCTGACTCGAGTTCGATTTTTCTGTCCCTCTCAGAGAGCCCAGCAAACTACTGAGAGTATCTCGCCTGCACAGCAAAGCCTGGCAAGCTACCTGTGACGTGTCCGATATGCCAAACACAGTAACAAATCTCACAATGTTACTGGGCCCGCTCAAGCAAATAGATGAACAATGGAAGAACAGTGACAGTGACAGTGACAGTAAACTGAAATAGCAAATCTAATTTTATTTTTTAAAAAATTGAAGAAAATTGATAGCTACTATAGAAATGTAACAAGAATAAGCTATATGAAACCTAAGTAATCTATGTAACCAAAGTCAATAAGTTTAATTCAGGTTGCTTTTGCAAAATTTTGACATTTTTCATTTCATTTATCATTGTACTCATAAATAGCATATCAATTTTCTCATTTTTATTTCACCCTTTTCTTCTTTCAAAGTGTTTTATTTCTATCTAAAGTGTATTAACATAGATCCTACTCAACCACCACCATTTAAACTCATCTGCCCAGCTTCCCAGATTCATGACTAATCTCTGAAGAGATGCACGACAAACTCCTAAAATTCACGGCTACACCAAACTTCTGCTGAAAACTCTGGAATACTCTTGAGAAAGGGGCAGACTAAGTCCCCACTCTGTTGAACCC